ACAACAAATCGTTTGCTTAGAGAATCCATCTTGCCCCATTTACTGGCCCTAAAAATGATGAGTCAAAATGAGCACCCAAAATCCTCAAACTTCAAAGCACGCTAACCATCTCCAAAAGTAACCCTAAGCTAGGCCATGTGGCAAGAACAAGACAAAAGCCATATTGAGTTGCTCTCAGTAAACGCTATACAAGTACCTGGTCTCTGCTGCTCTGAGCATTTGGAGATCTAAGCAATACAGTCACCTTCCATGAACACACACTTGCCACACACAATTCATTCTCCAAATGATGGATATATCAATAAATCAGAGCAGAAAGGAAATTCTCAATGGGGATGAAACTCTTAGGCTCAGAGTCAATGCATCTGTGATAAATTGGAAACAGCGTGACTTTAGAAGCCAGATGAGTCTGGGTTAAAATTCCAGATAAGTAGTCAACCATTCTAAGGTTTAGTGTCCTCATCTGTGAACACCACTTGGCCACTTCTAGCTATGGTTCCCAAGTCAGCACCAGCATGATGGATGGAAGAGTCTTCAGCAGTCCCAGTGGCCAGAGGTAAACCACACCACGCATCTGCACAAGTGTTCCGGCTTCCTTTATGATGACATGTCACGTGGCCCTGCATCGCTCAGATAATAACTCAGTTTTACCAATCGGGTGTTTTTCCAGTGAGCCCATGGAAGTCTGAGGTCAAAGAAGCACTTACTAAATAATGCTCATGAGTTTCCTGAACAGAGCTTTCAAGCCAAATCCATAATGTAAGGAAAGTGCTGCCCACTTCCATCAATTCATCTCTGCCTCTGCTTCCTGAAAGGTCCCAATTAGCGACTGTGATTGACTCCACTTGGGGAGACATGCAGACTCTCTCAGCTAATTGGCCCAAGGAAGAGAAGCGCGACTTGAGTGGAGTTCACGCGACGTGGGCTGACCTTTGTCTTCACCTTCCCCAGCAGTTATTTCCTGCACTGAAAGCAGAAGCTAAAAGGGTACTTAGGACAGGGGCAAAAGCCCTTGCATTGGCATTAGGGAAAAGTAAATGGGGTTGGGCACCAGGGATAAAGACAGCTGTAATAATGGAACTGTATCCCCACCCCCAGAACAGAACACGTACCGACATCCCTTACTGATCAATCTTAGCATCCTTCCCTGTTTCTAGAGATGGCAAAAGATTCCAGGATACTCATTTCCTGCCTGCTGTGTTGGAAAGTTGGCACTGGTTTCTCAGTTGAGATCCTTGTGTTGAAATCTGATTAGGTTCTTCTCTGTGTTATCCTTGAACAGAATCCTGGATATGACTACGGACTTAGGGCTTAGAGTGGGAATTACACACAGTCCACGAGGGAAAATAATCAGTGGGGAAAATCCTCCATGCACAGTCAGAAAACCCTCACGTGAGCCCAAGAACCAGCAGTTTATGGGTCTGTGTCACTGTTAATAAAGCTTTAGTGTCTTAATCCATAAAATAGGCATAAGACTCTTCCACAGCAGAATCCTGTCATGAAAAGTGAAATTATTCCCTTCCTTTTGTTGTTGTTATTGGTGGTAAGTCACTGTGTCCAACTCATTTTCAACCCCATGGACTATAGCCTGCCAGGCTCCTCTGTACTTGGGATTTCCCAGGCAAGAATACTGGAGCAGGTTGCCATTTCCTTTTCCAAGGGATCTTCCCGACCCATGTCCCCTGCATTGGCAGGTGGGTTCTTTACCACTGAACCACCAGGGAAGCGTCTCCCTTCCTTTGTAAGATCATAAAAATATACACTGAAATCACCTACAAAAAGTATTTACTGTAGTGCCTGACAAAAAGCAAATGCTAAAAAAAAAAAAAAAGATGTTTTGTCCTTATGAGTATCAGGGAGGCAAATATTGTTGAACCCATTTTATGGAGACAACTCAGTGTGACTCTTTGAAGATCACATGCCCAGTAAGGCTTGGGGTTGGATGGGGCCTCAAACAATACCTAAAGCTTATGCCCTCCCCGTCTACAGTTGGGAGCGCCTAACTCTGCTGGGCATCAGAATTTCCTGGGAGCCGAGTTAAAAGTGAACATTCCAGGGCCTCATACCAGATTCTAATTATGAGCAGGCCTCAGATCTAACGAAGAAATTCCCGTAATTCCTCTCATTCACATTGAGATATTATTATTACAAATACTACTAGTATGCATATTACTATTAGTTTTTACTTTTACAACTAAGGTGAAAGTTCAGCATAGTTCCTGGTTCAGAGATTCAGAGAAAAAACACCATCCCGTACATTCATGCACACACATACACATATGTAGAAAGTACACATTGGATTCTACTCGTTCCAAGTTGTGATACAGAACAAATTTACTAAAATCCCCTGGACCAAGTAAAAGCATATTTTAATAAATTTATTCATGGAAGACATGTTTCATGATCATAAAAACTGTTAAATCTCTCAAAGAGTCTCCAGGTTTTAGGGAGATTATTTTGATGACATGAAAGACTGAGGAAAGAGAAATTCATTTGTTCATCCAGCAAACATGTTTCTTATCAATGTTAGTTGCAGGGATAAGTGTGAGAGATTCAGAAATCAGTAAGACTGGAAGCTTCATAAAGCCCCGGATAGTGTCTGTCTTGTTGGGAAAACAAATACACTTAAGGAGATCAAATAATTCTAGGATACGGTAAGTGCTACTGATGAAAAAAAAGTATCGGGGTGCTGTGACAGAACTGCTGGGAGCCAGGGTGAGTGAGACAGAACGCTCTTTCTGAAGAGCGGAGATTTGAGCTGAAAGCAGAAGGCAGGGAGGGCTCGGTTGTGTGCAGAGCCAGCTGGGACAGCAAGTGCAAAGGCCCTGAGGCAGGAAGGAGCTAGGTGGGCTCATGAGCCGGAAAGCAGCCCTGGAAGCTGGCGGTGGGGGCCAGGGCAGGTTGACATGAGGGGGACTGGAGAAGAGTCAGGGGTCACGCAAGGCCCCAGGGGCCCTGGCCAGGAGTTTGAACTTGACTCCACGTGGAGCTTGGCAGCCACTGGAGAATTTTGAATGGGAGAAGATGGTAAACGCCTCCAAAAACAATCCCTCTGGCCACTGGAGAATGGATCTGGAGGAGATCGGAGCAGAAGCAGCAGGAGAATAGTGAGGAGTGTCACGGGGAGGCGGGGGGCCCGCCCGTGGGGAGCTATGCAGGCCCTGTCTCGTTGCTGCCCCTGGATTCCAGGTTACACAAGCCGCGAGTGTCCTCATGGGGACCTGAGCCAAAGGCCCCGTTGGCTGTGACCTCGAGCCTGAGGATCCGGTTTCTCTCTGCCTCCAACCACCTCCAGGACAGCCTCTGTCCCCTCCAGCACTTGGCCCCATGAGCACGTGTCCTCGAGAAGGAGCAAAGAGGCCACCTCCAGGGGCCAGTCCTGCTGCAGGCGCCTCTGTCTCCTGCACCAGGCTGGGGATGCCTCAGTTAACCCACTGGTTCCCAAGGGAGACGCGAGGCCCCCCAGGGGACCTCTGGCAAAGTCTGCAGACATTCTTGGTCATCCCCAGTGGGGAGCAGATGCTACTGCTGGGCCAGACCCGGGGTGCTGTTACACATCCTGCAATGTGCAAGATGGTCCCCTCAACAGAGTCACCCAGACCCGAAGGTCAACAGCGCTGACGTTGAAAATACCCTGGCTGATACGTGGACTCTAAGTAAATGGCACAAATGAACTTCTTTATAAAACAGAAATAGAGTCACAGATGTAGAAAACCAAATTATGGTCCCCAAGGGGGAACAGTGTGGGGAGAGATAAACTGGGAGACTGGGATTGATATACACACTACTGTATGGCCTACTGTGTTAGGGAACTCCACTCAATACTCTAAAGATCTAAATGGGAAAAGTGCTAAAGTTACTCAGTCCTGTCCGACTCTTTGCAACCTCAGGGACTGCAGCCCACCAGGCTGCTCTGTCCATGGGATTCTCCAGGCCAGAATACTGGAGTGGGTGGCCATTCTCTTCTCCAGGGGATCTTCCCCACTTAGGGATTGAACCCGGGTCTCCCGCATTGCAGGCAGATTCTTTACTATTTGGGCCACCAGGGAAGCCCTATATGGGAAAAGACTCTTTAAAAGAGTAGATATACAAACCTAAGTATGTATATGTTTAACTGATTCACCTCTCTACAATAGACACTAACACAGCATTGTAAATCAACTGTATTCCAACAAAAATGAAAACAACAACAACCCTGGCTGAGAGGTTCAGCCAAACTTTATTTCTTCTCCTCTAAAGCCAAGGTCTCCACTGCAATTCCCCAAAGGATAAGGAAGAATCCCAATCTTTGTAAACAAGGCAGAGAAAAGACAAATGGCATGCACGGATTGACCTACTGTATGCATGCCCCTGCACTTTACATGTGCTGACTCATTTCCTGGGGGTAGGGTGTGTTTTTATTTATTGATTGTCTATTTGCAGCACACCTGTGTAAGATGGTGGGATTTCCTGGTGGCTCAGACGGTTAAGAGTCTGCCTGCAACGTGGGAGACCCGGGTTGGATCCCTCGGTCGGGAAGATCCCTTGGAGGAGGAAATGGCAACCTACTCCAATATTCTGGCCTGGAAAATGCCATGGATAGAGGAGCCTGGCGGGCTACAGTCCATGGGGTCACAAAGAGTTGGACCCAACTGAGCGATTTCACAGCTATGTAAGATGGTACTTTCATTACTACTACAGAGGCTAAACTGAGATCCCTCTGTGGTAAAGAAACCTTCAAAGTCACAGAGTTGGGATCAAACCCACAGCTCACTGGCTCCCAGCACGGTGTCCTTTTCTGAATTCCAGAGAAGCTCCCAGGACAGCAGGGGAAATGGGGCAGTGAAGTTTCCGTTTGGAGAAGTCTGGTGTCTTGCCTGGGAAATGTAAATAATTTAGAGTGCAGGGGCTGAGGTAATAATCCCGTCTGGTTTCACGGGCCACCCAGACAGAGCGCTGAAGCCGCCTCCCCGCCATTCCATCCCTAAACGCACCCTGCTCCCACACCCGCCTCCCTGCAGGTTCTGCTTGTTCCGGGGAGCTGAACCACCTTCTCAACCAGAGGAACACGGGGAGAGGCGAAAACATCATTTGGCAGCCATGTTCCTCAAGCAGAGAAGCACTATTACAGGCTGGGTAGATGGTACGGGGAAAAAACTCGATCAACACATGTTGATCTGACGCCTACTGTATACAAGGCTCCATGCTCAGAATGGTGAGGACTGGGAAGGTGAGTAAGAAATATTACACGAACCCTGTCATATAAAACGGTTTATCAGGCAAATATTCTATGCCAAGCCAAACGCGAGGCTTCAAGACATCAAGATAGAAAAAATAAGAAACCTCCCCCGCCGACCTATACACATAGGTACTTTGAGGTCAGGGGTCCTGTTATGAATTATATTAATTAAATGAGTGCTAATTTATTAATAAAAGTGCCATTAAGATATGGATTGAAAGCAACAGTGAACTAGGGAAAGAAGAGAAAGACAAGGTCCCAGGTGGATGAATGAATGAATGAAAATAAAAAAGGAACAAGTGTCATTCAAAGTGCAGCTGAAGTTCTGGGAAAAGAAGGTACAGAAGCAAAATCTGACCTGCAGGAGAGAAATCAGGAAAAATTCCATGACCAAATGGCTTTTCATGTTAACAAGATTCAGACATGTGGGTAGGAGATGGCTTGCACCCTGGAAAGGGGGAATGAGTCAAAACTCTGGAAAAAGGCCTTCTCAGCCTAGAAGTCATGTTATCCAGAAGCCACAGCCATCTGGAAAGAAAGAAGAAAAGGATGCAGTGAGAATGGCCAGGCGCCCATCACAGGGGAGACAGTATTTGGAGCCCTTCTTCTATCGTCCCACTAAGGCGCACCAGAATGCAAAGTAGGGGCTTTTATTAACCCGTTTAACAGATGGGAACGATGCAATGCCCAGCAGAAAAGCGGTGAAGTCCAGCTAGGACCCAGCCCTTTGGTTCAAAGCAGGTGACTGCAACCTACAGAGAGTGGGCTAAGTCTGGTTTGCCGCCTGTCTTTACAAACAGAGCTTTATGGGCTCACAGACACGCCCGTCCACCTGCCCACTGTTCCCGGCCACGACGGCAGAGCCGAGTAGTCGGACAGAGACCATGCGGTCTGAAAAGCCTCATGTAGTTTACTGCGTGGCCCTTTCCAGAAAAAGCCCTCCCAAAGCCCCCTCCCTTGGCTCGCGTGGCCCAGCGCGTCCTGGGCTGGCACCACCGGGTGGACCCCTCCCCGTGGGGGCCCCTGCCGGCCACTCCCCACTCTGCTGGGGAGGCTGGGCCCCAGGGTCTCTCAGGACGTAGAAGGCCCCGTGAGCAAGCACATCCCTGGAGTGCTGGAATTCCTGTGGCATCTCCAGTGTTGATATTGCAAACACCACAAGAACTCATTTTTCATGCTATTTCAGCTGAAAACAGCCATGGCCTGGAGATCAGGGCTGCGCCGCCGGGCTCCGCTGACCGGCCGGCCGCAGGTGGCCGGCCCAGGTGCGCGGGGCCGGGCCAGGCTCTCTTCCGGGACGGCGGGCTTGAGGAATGAGAGCAGGGCCGGGGCCCAGGCGCCTCGCGGGAAGCGGGGCTGCCTCTCAGCAAGAAGGGCCTGAAGACACGAGCTGGCGTCCACACGTCCACCTTGTTCGATAACCCAGCGTGGCTCATTAATTGAAACAGAATCAAACCAAATGGAATCCAGATGTTGGCATATACGCACTCACACACAGCGCAGAGACACACGCTCCAGCAGAAAGGCACTTGTCTGAGGGGCCGGGGGGTCGCCTTCTAGCCTCTGTCTCAGCCTCTTGTTTCTGGTTTGTTTTCCTTTCATGGCACTTAGGCCATGAAAGAGAAGAAGAAGAAAAAAAAGGTAAACTCCTGACTTAGAATTATCTTGCATTTCTCCCCATACGATTGGAAATTCCACAAGCGCCTGTGCTTGCTGGGTGCTCACTGCTGTTTCCCCGGGCCCAGCACACAGCCTGGAACATAGTCATGTGTTCAATGAACTGCTACTGATTGAATACATGGTTCCCTTGTCATGTCTAGCAGAAAATTCACAAGAAACATACACTACTCTTAGAATTTTTTATAACCACCCTATTTTAAAATAGTATCAGTCAAGTCAAAGAATGGAAATTGACATCTTATCTAGCAAATATTTATTGACTACCTACTGTGAGTTCACATCACCAATTTCCCCTCACCCCTAGAAAGCCAAGCACTGTACACCATTCAGAACAAATCTTCAGTGAATATCCGTGACCACACAAATTGCACTATGGCAGTTACTACCTACTTTGAAGATGATATATAAAAAGAGTAGAAACAGTGACTCATCTTTAAGAGATTAAACGTTCCAATGAGCCCACCACCTCCAAGAGTCTGGAATGCATTTCCCTGGGAGATAATAAAGCTGAGTCACAACCACAGCATAGAGAAGAACCCAGTGCTGTTTTGGAAAAGTTCTCAATAGGCATTTCGAGGCCAGCAACTTCTGTGAATAAACAAGTCAGCATTTACGGCAGTCTGCAACACGGTTGGCATCTGATAGGCTTCATTCCAGCTGCCCCCATCAAGTCCCAGACTTTGAAGATCAAATTCAAGGCACAAAATGAACTTGAGATGTTGCAAAGGCAACAGCTTATGGATGAACTTTTTGGCCAACCCAATACAAAGCATCTGAGAGTTTACCTGCATGAATACATGCTTTGTCTAAGGCAGGAGACACTGAGGCACATTTGGACTCATTTTCTTCCCCTTCACGAACATAGTCTTTATTTTAAAGGCCACTCATTAATGTCAAGTAAGAAAAGATGCCCAGAGAATAGCCAAGATTGCAAAATAATGGTTGGCCTGACCGTGCTACTTATGTCTGGCTCTCCAGTCAGACAAGACTGGTGTTTGGATATAACAACAAACCCCGTGACTCTGTGGGTCAAGCTGTCACACTGAGCTTTTATTATTAAACATCTTCGGGTCAGACTCATTGTTACCTAGACCACATCTGCCAGCTGTTAAGTGGTTCCAATGCAGTAGGGGGAAGTGAAGGGCAACTGAGAAGATGAAAAAAAGCTTGAAAAAGTGAAATAAACATTCTTAAGCATATGTCACCCTCCACTAGCCATGTTTCAGAACTATGAAAAAGAAAGAAAAAGTATAGATCTATAATACATGGAGCATGGGAGCAATCCTTTCATCCTAAGGAGAAAAAAAAGCTGCAAACCAAAATAACAGCCTAATGTAACGGATGCTGCAGTCTTTAAGAAAGACTGTTGAAATGACATGTTCTGGAGAGGGTGTGGAGAAAACAGAACTCTTGATGGGAATGTAAACTGGTGCAGCCACTATGGAGAACAGTATGGAGGTTCCTAAAAAACCCACAAACAGAGTTGCCATATGATCCAGCAATCCCAGTCCTGGGCACATACCCAAAGAAAACTATAGTTTGAAAAAAATGCATGCACCCCTACATTTATAGGAGAAGGCAATGGTAATCCACTCCAGTATTCTTGCCTGGAAAATCCCATGGACAGAGGAGCCTGGTAGGCTGCAGCACATGGGGTCATGAAGAGTCGGACACAACTGAGCGGCTTCACTTTCACTTTTCACTTTCCTGCATTGGAGAAGGAAATGGCAGCCCACTCCAGGGTTCTTGCCTGGAGAATCCCATGGAGAGAGGAGGCTGGTGGGCTTCCGTCTATGGGGTTGCATGGAGTCAGACACGACTGAGGCGACTTAGCAGCCACAGCAGCAGCTGTGTTCATACATAGCAGCACCATTTTTAACAGTCAAGACACGGAAACAACTTAAATGTCCACTGCCTGATGAATGGATAAAGCAGCTGTGACACATGCACATGCGCACGCACACACACACATACACAGACGTGTGTACACGCATTCACATACACACATGCACACACGTGTGTGCACACACACGCACATGCACACACACAGACACATGCACATACACATGCACATGCGCACACAGACACAGATACATGCACGCAAATGTGTGCGCACATACATGCGCACACACATGCACATGCGCACACATGTGTGTGCGCGTACACAGGCACACACACATCCACACATATACACATGCGCACACACATACACGTACATGCACAAACACATACACACGTGTGTGCACCACACACATCCACACACATCCGCACACACGTGCATACACACACATGCACACACGTGCACCACATGCGCACGCACATACACACATGTGCGCGCACACGGACACACACGCGTACCACACACGTGTGCACACACGTGTGCACACACGCACGTGCACACATGCCCACACACATGCACACACGCGCACACACATGCACACACACGCACATGCACACACATACACCCCGCCCCGCCCTGGAATACTGCCCAGCCACAAAAAAGAAAGAAGTGATGCCACTCGCAGCAACGTGGATAGGCCTAGAGATCACCCTGCTAAGTAAGTCAGAAATTGCTAGTCGCTCAGTCGTGTCCGACTCTATGCGACCCCAGGGACCGTAGCCCGCCAGGCCCCTCTGTCCATGGGATACTCCAGGCAAGAGCACTGGAGTGGGCTGCCATGTCCTCCTCCAGGCGATCTTCCCGACCCAGGGATCAAACCTGCGTCTCCTGAACTGCTGGCAGATTCTTTACATTCTGAACCACCAAGACAAATATCATACAATATCACTTACATGTGGAATCTAAAATATGACACAAATGAACTTGTCTACGAAGCAGAAACAGAGTCACAGACATAGACAATAGGCTGATGGTTGCCAAGCAGGAGGGGTGGAGCAGGATGGATTGAGTGTTTGGGATTAGCAGAGGTAACGTATTATATATATTTTACAACAAGGTCCTACTGCATAACATCAGGAACTACATTCAACATTCTGTGATAAACCACAATGAAAAGTATACATATGTTATCACTGCATCACTTTGATGTAGAGCAAAAACTAACACAACATGTAAATCAACCATCCTTAGACAAAATAAAGGCTGTTGAAGGATGGGTTATCAGACACTATCTCCTCATTCCACAAATGAAAACTGATCACCTGCTGGGTGGCAGGCCTAAGGTGCTAGGGAAAAGAAGACCAGTCTCTGCCCTTAACAACAAGTATGATTAACTCCTTAGAAACAGGTTGAAATTTGCTAGTGGCCTTCCATGACCCAAGTCTGGGGCTAGGCTTCATATCAATAAATGTCATTCATCCATTCAATAAGTGCTGATTAAGCATGTACAAAAAAAAAAAAAAAGCATGTATGATACATTTCTTTTAGGTTCTGGGGGTATACTCAACAGACAAAAATCCCCACTTCCTGCATCTCAGCGTAAGTCCACAAACCACCACCCTCGGATATTATTCCAGTTTCATGGAGACGAACTGAGATTAGACATAACCTACTCAAGGTCACATATAAACCCCATCAGAGCCAGGATCCCGGCCCTGACCAACTTCAGACCGCCTTCCCCACAAATGCCTGCGAGGACCACCTGGCCAAGAGCACGGGGGGTCAGGTTTACTAATAACAGCAACTTGTGTTTGCTTTTATCTTTGCTTCTGCACAGACACACTTGGACTATGAGATCCACAGTTGTATTTTTCACTTCTGCCAAAATAACAACAAAAACGGTAGTAAAATAACAACCACGGTAATGGCAGCAAGTCATAATAGTGCTTTCTCATTCTTCTCCAAACACATAGCCATTTCAGCCCTTATGTTTGGCTTGTAGACAGAGCCAGAGTTAACAAGAAATATTTCACTGTGTGTTCAGTGTTGTTGTAAGGAGTTGTCAGCACAATCGCAATGATGACCAGCAGACAGATCCTTGCCAACCTTCATATTCAGGAGGTGAGGTGATAGGCGAGGTGGGGCCAGAAATGGTGGGGGAGCAGGTCCGTGTCTAAGGGACAGCTTCTTCTCAACCTGAGCAGATGGTCACCTTGCAAAAAGGAAGGCAAGAGGGGCCAGAACTCCTGATTTTTTCAAAGGAAGCCAGAAATCTGCATGCTATGTCAAATCTCCCCAAATTTCAATACTGGCAATACATTTAAAAAAAATATGTGTATCAACATTTTGCTGGCTAAAAGGTACATATTTCAGTGTTAAATCTGGCACAGGCCTCTGCATTATTCCAAGTGTTCTGTCCAGCAAATATCAAGCACGCTGAGTAGTATTTTAATTGGAAAAGAATCCGCCTGCAATGCATATTAGACATAATCGAACCCGGTTCGACCCCTGGGTTGGGAAGATATGCTGGGAAAAGGATAGGCTACCCACTCCAGTATTCTTGGGCTTCCCTTGTAGCTCAGCTGGTAAAGAATCTGCCTGCAATGCAGGAGACCTGGTTTTGATCCCTGGGTTGGAGCGATCCCCTGGAGAAGGGAAAGGCTACCTACTCCAGTATTTTGGCCTAGAGAATTCCATGGACTGCATAGTCCATGAGGTCACAAAGAGTCAGACACAACTGAGTGACTTTCACTTTCATATTTATTTAGACCACCTATCAATGATCTTGTCTTTTCCA